AAAGGAACCTTGTTGTTTCATGTGTGAGAACCGGAACTAAATAAACTGATACGCGTCACTGTGCTAATTAAACGTGCGTAACATGGTAGCCTTCAATTCAATGAGAGACCAGTTTTGTCGCGGAATATTTTTCCTATTCTATAAGCTACTGACGTCTATAATTACCATCTATAATTGCATAATGCAGCTTTGTTGTATTTTTTAATTGATTTATATTTTTTATTTATATCTTGACAACGTTGTTCAAATCTGTATCGTTATTTGAAAGAAATTTTATTTTAAGAAAGCGGAAATTATATTATGCTGTTACTATAAAAGACCCGTTCCATTTTGGAGCGCATCTATAAGAGCGGGCTAAAAATGTTGGATATTCCTTAAAATGCAAATATCTGCAATTTTTGTTTTAATATCAATTGAATCTTTATATTTATTTCTTTGGTACAATTTAATCCAACTATATAGCCCAAATTTAATTGATTTCTATCACATTTGTATGGCGATCTATACTATATAGATATCACGAATTTTTATCCGCCGCTTTATATTCGCTTAACATTTTCCAGAGCCCCCGGGAGTACACGGAACACGAGAGGCGGCAGCTACTAATAGCCCGACTGCCAAACGTCGAGACATTGAACGGCGGCGGCGTGATATCGTCTCAGGAGCGCGAGGACGCAGAAAGGGCCTTCATACGTTATTACATGGACAAACCGGAAGCTGATCGACCCGAAAGGTAAGTCTCTTAACGCTCGCCCAAGTTCGGTTTTGATAATTCCCTCCTTTCCCCTTTGATAATCAAGGCTCGCGCGGAACGAGTCTCGAATACTTCTTCAAAGGCGCCGTAAGTTGTTTTAACGCGTCTTTAACGCAAATTTCAATTTCCCCGCGAACAAGCCCGGTTTTTGTCCTTCGGGCAGCTCCAACTTTGCCCGAGACTATTGGACTATTCTGGTTTCATGGCTACGCTCGCGCTCCCTTACCATTCGGAGGAACCTAACTTGACCCTGTTTTGCGATTTTCAGGTATTCCGAGCTCGTGGCTATTCACGGAAAGTTGGACCCCTTGGTGAACGTAGATTTGACGCCGGAGAAAAGGGTCAAGGTCACGTTCACTTACGGAGATCTCGTCGAGGTATTTAATTTCGTATCGGGTTTCGTCACTTTAGGTGTATTGCGTAACGGCAAACTTTTACTAGATCCATAATCTTTCCCAAATACGTGATTCGTAAAATAATTAAGTCTTTCAAGTATTTACTTCTGCAAGTAATCGCGATATGAATAAAAGAATTTCCATGCCGTGAGCAATACTTTTTATTTTACATTTGATTGGGATGATTGGTCACAAACAATGCTTTCAGGTACGGTCGGTAGATGTATATAGGACAGTTTTTGAATTAAAAACCAAGTTGGAAAGTATGGTGAAAATTCCTGCCAATAGAATGAGGCTTTTCTACGTTGATCAGGTGAGTTGTTCTGTCTTGTATTAACTAAACGATTTTAATGCTGTTCGCAGAATATTTGGCACCTTGATCGATCCTTTAAGAAACCCGAAGTTGCGATATGAATCGCATTACCCTTCCAAATAATCCTTCCTATCCTGGCATGTATATAAAGTTTGCAATTTCTCGAAGTATATCGCAAGGTACGAGCGTGAATTCTTAACGTACATGAAATTTTGTGCGAAATATTAAGAATTTACCTTATCCTACAACAAAGTTATCGAAATATGTCACAGCAAAAAAAGTGGAACAAATTTAAAAATTCTAGGAAATGAAGGCACAGTATGGACCGGAGGAAATGCTGTATCCAAACAAGCAACTCTATCGATACAATATTAGGAACGGCGACGAGATCATCATTGACAGCAAACTGAATCGATTCGCGTCAACGTCGTCGACCACATCTTCCATTCGTTCCTGAAGAAGAACGACGAGTGAATCGTGCGGTATTGAAAAAATCCGATAACTCCTCGGGTTTTGATCTCCACTTATAGCCTCACGATGCGACGCTCATCGGTGAATTGTAACAATACTGTTACAGATCAATAGAGAGGCGCGATTTTCATGATTGCGTTTGCTAACACCACCGCGGGTGTCTGAGAAAACCAAAAACTGTTACAATCCAAGGAGAGAGAGCAATTCGAGGGCAAATATCTCCCTACGTTGAAGTATACAAGCTAAACGTATAGAATTATTAGGGTTTTACGGATGTTTGACGTTACCTTAAACCACAAATGTTTCAAAAACAATAATGAGCAGATATGTGAGAAATCTTTAATTGGCGAAAATTCGGTAATTTATCGGAGACGAAATTATCTAAAGACAACGAGTGTTGCCTGATAAACGGTATGTCTAGACATTTTCTGAAAACCATTGCGAACTACAACCACCAATGCAAATGATCGTCCATTGCGATTGTTAGATAATTATTTCTTCGTATAACAAACTCACCCAGAGACCTCGACATATAAACTTAAACCGCTACTAACGAGCCTGGTGCATAGAGAATAATTATTGTATCCAGTGTACAAGCGTACACGCGCTTAGATGGATAGTTAGCCATCTTTTTCTTTAACGTAGTAATTCTCGTCCGTCTTAGGAGACGAAACGTAATACGGGGAAGCAGGATTGTACATAGTGAATTTCAATTTCCAGCTAAATTCGATGTAGTTACGACGCGAGCAAAGAAGATTTACCCTATTTGCTTGACGAGAAAGAAAGTGATAAGGAATTCGTAGAAGATAATTCTCGACTCATCTTAGGACGATGCCAACGACAACTGTAACGTAACGCGCCGCCGTTGAGGCTGCTGTGAAGAGAACGAAATATTTTTGTAGAGATCGCGGGCAGTTACCCTTAAAGAAAGTATAGGATCTACTCGTTCATGAAACGAACGCGTTTTGTTGTTCCCCCCGCTTGAGCACCGGGCAATGATGAAAGTGTGTAACGCAGTCGCGAAAATGCGTGCGGCTCTTTCGCGAAAGTCGCTGGTAAAAGGCAAGAAGAAGCCTTGCACGAAATTCCCGAGTAAGTTTAAGAGTAGCGGAATGTATTTACGCCGCTGATTCGCGAAAGCGTCGTTCACTTACGTCGTCATCTCGACAATTGATCTCTGTACTTTCCGAAGGTGATGTATACTTACGAGTAAACTCTTTCCTCTGTAAACTTTGCGCGAGATCAAAACGCCTAGGTGTCACGAGCTCGTAAATTACAACGTGAGTTGTAACGAATACGCGTGAAACGCGAGAGAAAATTTGTGAAACCGCGCAGGAGTCGTGCGCGGTTAAAGCTATGTTTGCTATCGTCTATTTTCGACGCGTACTTAACATCTTCACTTCTCATCTTCAACAGTTTCTATGTCTTTGAACAA